TGCTGGGCACCGGGAGTAAACACGAGCAGGAATGGGCTGAGGAGCAGTTTGACTTGCCTGTCCAGGGGTGCTGGGCTCTAGAATGGAGCCATTTCAGAAAAGCTGTAGCCAGGTGTGTTAACAAGAGATGAGTGGGATGCATGGGAAAGCTTGACGTGCATGTAAAGGGCTGTTTCAAAGACAGGAGGAATACTCTTCTTCAAGAAGTAGTTTCTTCCACAAGTAAAGTGAGGGCAAGACAAGCAGTGGGGAGCTTTGACTGTGGTAAGGGACATTTAGGTCAGACCTGTAGCCATGAGGTAAGTCAAGGAACGGGCTGTGAAATCATCAGTGGGTGTTTTTTAGAGTTAGATGAGCATCTCTCAGGGATGGCTTAAGAAGAGTTGATTTTTGCCTCAGGGCAGAGGGATGGATGAGGTGACCTTCCAGCCTGATCTGATAGGATTTAATGCTTGTTGGTAAGGTTTTGTTTTCTTATTTTCTTCCTAACTTGTAGGTACAAGGAGGAAAAAGGACAAATCTAGTGGATTCTTGACAGAAACTGTTTTAAATTTAGGCACCAAGAATGATCTGCAGCTGCCAGGAAAATGAAAAGCAGATTATGCAAACTCAAGACTTTCCCTGACAGTGGGAGTGGTGTAACTGCAATGCATAAAAGGCTGAACAGAGAATTAGGGGTATCTATCAACTTTAATATGTTTAATTTGAAAAGGAACAGGTTGCACCAACAATTTTTTTCCACTTAATGAGGCCCATTTGTAAGTAGAGTAACAGGGTTTGTCTGTCAGCCAGAGGAAGTCATGCTATGTGGATTTGTACTTTGGTGCAAAACTCGTGTTGATGGCAGTGATTTAAAACTTCTTCCAGCCCAGCTGCAGCCGGTTTGATGTCGGGATCCTTTCATCTGGAGACAGATGCACCCTTGGTAGAATCCTGAACACATCTGTGTCTTTGTTCAGCCTTACAAAGTACCAGCTAAAGAGTAAAAATAAAAGTTACATGGATTATTGCATGCTATTCCTCAGAGAGAACTACTATGAGATAAGATTTGACTTGCCCAAGACCTGGTAACCCCCTCCTGCAGATTGCAGAAGGATCTTTAGTGCATACATGAATTTGGCCTTTTGAATTTTCCTGTTCTGCCCATGTTTGTGGTGGCTGAGTGGTGTAGGAACAGTAAGAGGAGAACTTGGCAGAGCATGTGATGCTTCCCATGTCTCAGGGCCATTCTTTTTCTATTGGACTTAAAGCGTTGAAGAGGGAAAATGTTTTTTAAGTATCCTGGATCACAGTGTCAGGCTGGAGACAGGACTCACCTCCATTCTGGTGTGTGGATAGACACGGGCTGCTTCCAGTGAGCTTACCTGTTCCATGTTCTCTTTACTTAAATACAGAACAACCTTGATGGGCAGGCAGAGGGGAAAAAACTGGGGGGAGCCCACAGGACTGGGTGGGGATGGCAGGTGGATCCTCACTGGGCCTCAGGGAATGCTCTGCTCCGTGTCTTCTATATATCACCCTGCTTGCAAGGAAGGAGCTCCACATTGGAGTTGTGATGGTTTCCCACATCTGCCCTCCTTGTGTCCTTGGAATGCTTCCACATCATCCAAAAAGGAGAAAGCAAGCACAATGCCATGAGGACAATATGTCCTCCCATCATCTGGCACAGTAGATGCCTCATTCTGGACCTCCTCGTGTTTGCAAAGATGGAGAAATAGGCTGGCCCTCAATTCCTAATTAAATCCAGGCTAAACTGTAATCCCAGGTTTGGGATGGCCCAGCCTGGAGAGAAGGAGGCAACTGACAGAAGTAGGTTACTCCATGAATTAAGTGCTGTTGAGGTGTGCAGCAAGATGGCATTTGGAAGCTGGGTCCTTTGTATCTACCAGAGCAACCCATGGGAACGTCCACGTGCTCACAAACAGCCCATCGTCAAAGAGGTGACAGTGACAAAGTATCCCTGAGCCAGTCTGGGAAGGGAGGGCTTGGAGAGATGGAGTGCCAGAGGTTTTGCATTTCTCTAGATGCAGAGATGAGAAAATGAGAAATTTGATCTTTCTATTATAATCGACATAAAGAATTACAGGGCAGCAAAAGGCCACGCAGCTAA